AGTCCTATTCTAGCATGCAGTTCTCTGAATCAAAACCATATAGCATAACATAACAAGTATGGGTATCTTGGAGAAAACTTACTTGAGCCCGGCCGGTCGCATGCATCACACACCTTGTCTTTCTTAAAATCCTTCCGTTTAGATTTTTAGAAAACCATTTTATTAAAAAAATCTCTTAGCCCCTCAGTTTGAGTCCAGACACCCCCGAGGGTGTGTCCGAATCCCTCAAACCAGGGCTCTGATACCAACTTGTAACATCCCAAAAATCAAGCCCAAAAATTTCATTTTTCATTAGTTAGCTCATAAAACAGTCATTAGAAAATATTGTATAAACACGTCACTTCATAAAACCAAGTATCATGTTTGAAACCCACAACATAAACAACTATCATATCAGAGTACAATCCCAGAAAACACCGTGCGGAAAATCAGATGTGTGTGTGATGCCATGCTACGCCGCCGGCTCCTTCCCCTTAGACGAAGAGGTACCTGAAACCAAAAACTGAAACCGTAAGCACAAAGCTTAGTGAGTCCCCCACCACATCATATCCACATACCATACAATACCATCGGTATCTTTCAACCGGTAATCATCATCGGTATCTTTCAACCGCTAACTGGGGACTATTCCACCCCCTACCACTAGCATACAAAAGCAAGATATATAAACATACAGTCAGGCATATCCGGGTACTGACCTACCCCTTGGTCCTAAGGACCAATATCAGGGAAACTATCCCTACCATGCACGTAACATATCATACAGATATAACTCATAACCAAACACATAATCAGACCAAGATAATTATCACAAATACAATCATTTTCTAAATACTCCTCATTGGTGGGCCGGCATTGTGGCCTTAGACCCACCCCTACTGGAAGGTAACTCACCTCGAAAAGTAGCTGCTGAAAGTCTGCTTGCTAGACGTCTGACTGCTGCACCGGCAATCCTTCGGTTACGAATCCACAAACATAGATTAGACACTCATAAATACCCTTAGGTCAAATGACTGACCTACCCCTAGTCCAAGTCCGTCAAGGTCCATTGGTCAAATCAACTTCCAGTTGACTGGACTCGCCGAGTCCTGGCACAGACTCGCCGAGTCCCTCTCCTACTAACCCAGTACTAACTCATCAAGTCCCTCTTCCCACTCACTGAGTCACCCTTAACTCACTACTTGGGACGATTAGACTGACTCGCGATCCGACTCGCCGAGTCTGAGAACAACTCGCCGAGTCCCTACGAGCAGATCTCCTACTCGCTTCTAAATCCTCACCAGAGCATCCATTTTGAGGATTTGGGTTTCTAGGACTATTGCTACACGTTAAATTGCTAATTCCACGTGCAGCTACGAAGGGTTGGACCCTTTACACTTAAACCCCTCTTAACTCAGTCACAGTTCATATGACTCGCCGAGTTTGAAGAACAACTCGTCGAGTTCCAGGCAATCTTCATAGGACTCGCCGAGTTGTTCATCCAACTCGTCGAGTCTAAGACCATCTTCATAGAACTCGCCGAGTGCACTTTGGCACTCGCCGAGTCCCTTCAACCTTTCTCCCATACAGACCAAATCTACGACATGCAACGGTTCCAAACCATAGATCTAAGCTCCTAGGGAATGCTTGTCACGTAAAGTTGCAAACTTTACGTGCATGCATGGCCCTATGAGCTCCAAAAGGCAATTCCAAGCTCTTTATGAGGTCAAACACTCAATAGGGACCTCAATCACTTCAACCACAGAGACTTTACACTTCTAAAATGTCCATAAGGTCCAGATCTGAAGTCCTTTCAGAACATAGAGCATAAACACATGGAGTTTGAGGTTTTAGGGCTTGAAAACCACAATTTAGGGACAAAAAGGGAATCTAAAGAACTAGTGATCAAGGTAGGAACTTTTCTACCTGAATAGAAGCTTCCCATAGTGTAGATTTCGGATCTACTTCCCTTCCTTGCACCCTCCAACCTCCTCCTTCTTCTTCTAAGCTCCAAACTTCCTTCACAAAGCCAAAAATCACTCACAAGGACAATATGGGGGCTAGGGTTTCGCTCTACCAGCTCTCTGGAAGTGTTAGGGACAAGGGAGGCCGAGTTAGAGTGTTTAAATAGGGTGCACACTCCTGGATTAGGGTTTTTGTCCAAACAGCAGCTTACTCGCCGAGTCCGGGACCCGACTCGGCGAGTCCACGACTTAAACCCCGTGCCCCTTCCCGCTTCTACTCGGCGAGTTGAGCCTTTGACTCGCCGAGTCCAAGGCCAAAATGCAAAATATTTTAAAGATTTAATAAAAGAATACGTACCAAGAACCAGGTGCTACATTATACATTAAAAATCAAAACAAAAAAGAGATGGAAGACAAGATACCGCTTCAATGATTCCTCGCTAAACCATGAGTTGAGGTTGAATAGAGGAACCATCTGATTAATTTCTGACTTGTTATAAAGAAACCAATTAAAGAAAATCACAACAATTTACAATCAAGAAAATGGAACATTCACATTAAGATAAAACTCCAACAAACAGAGACCTAGAAGTTGCACATTAAGATAAAACTCCAATAAACGAACCTGAATAAGAAAAACTGTCGGATGTTGGGCGATTTGAAGCCAAAGAAGTCAATATTTGAAATTCCAATTGGGTGGCATTTATTTGGAGAGACGCCACTGGTTCCTCGCAACACAACTATTGATGGACTGGAAAAAAGAAGATTAGGGTTTAAAAGAGGAAATAACGAAGAAAGATAAAGGATCGGCGAGATTTAAGGAATGATGATGACACCGGTATTCGTAGAGAAAAGAAGAACAGTAGTGGAGTAGGAGCGGTGGCGATAAGTGGAGATATTCATCTTTTAATTTCATGTTGACGGAATTGATTTAGTTTCAAATAGATGCAGAATCAGAGGAGTTCAAGAATGAAAGATAAAAGAGGAAGCAGGGGCAATATCGGAAAATCAGTTAGATGATAGAAGCAGGAAAAATCGAGGGGAGGGGGCTAAGAGATTGCCACGTAGCAAAAATGCTCTTATTTATTAGATTAGGGGATGCGGTATGATGGGGGAACTCACTAAGCTTTGTGCTTACAGTTTTTAGTTTTTGTTTCAGGTCCTTCTTCTTCGAAGGGAAAGGAGTCGGCATGGTAGTAGCGCATCACACCCATGATTTTCCACACACGAGATTCTTGGGATTTGTACTCTGACATTGTTACTATTTGATTATATGGTTTTGAGACACGTGATCTATGGTTTTTATGAGATAAATTACTTGATGATGTTTTCTTATAAATTGTTTTATGAATCACTATATTAAAAAAATGAAATTTTTGGTCTTAAATTTTGGAATGTTACAGATGGGATATTATTTTTTTCCGATAGTAGAGGTGGTGGTGATTTAGCCCGATGTACAGGTGGTGGTGATTTTCTCTCTTCTGTTCATCTACTTGAGTTGTGATGGAAACAAGGGAAATGAGGAAAAAAGGTAGGTAAAGATGGATGTAAGGGGCGGGTCGCCTGCAACTTTTTCCGGCGAGGGAGAAATGACCGGACTAGAAATCAAACACAGTTTCTTGTGGTTGCAATGTATAGGTTTTTGGGCGAGGTGAAGGAGAGGGGTGTGAATGGGACCCACCTTATTTAATAAATATTTTTAATAAATAAAGAATAAACAAATTAGAAAAAAAATAAAGAAGGGTAATTTAGTCTTTTTAGGTCTGGTAAGGACCAAGCGAGTAAAAAAAATACATTTTAGGGACCTTCCGAGTTAAAAAAAAAAGACTTAGGGACCAAAGATGCAGATTACCCCAAACCATAGAGACCATTCGTGTAATTTACTCATTTAAAAATGAAAATTTTGGTTTGAAAATTTGGATGTTACAAATATTGTACAAGGAAATTTTTATGGGGCTTTATTTTGATTTTCGCACAAGGCCTCCGAAATATTAGGGTCGGGCCAAAGATTAATGCTAATGCTAGGAAGAAGAAAGGAGGTGAACTAATATGAAAGGATTGGATTGATGATCTAGTTTTGAAGAGTTTGAAAAGTTTCGGTTAACTCTTTTGTATTGTTTTGACTTTGGTTTGGACTGATTTGTTTTTGTTGTTGCTTTGATTGTTTTTTCTTTAGCTTCTTATTTTTTTCTATAAAAATTTACCAGCCGTTAAAAAAAGATTATTATCTACTTAAATGAGATAAGATCATGACAATCAAATTCACCTAATCACCTCTACAATGAATACAAGAAATGTGAGATGCGTTGTATCCAAACTCGATATAACGAGCCTTCTATTAATAGTAGGAGAATTTCAACTATTTGATCGTCATAGCTACCGCATATGACTTTAAGAATCATACCAACTCCGAGGACGTTGATATCAAGGAAGGGGTCGACCGCCTATGACTTACAACCATGACATGATAACAAATTATTCATATAATAAACACTAGGTGTGAGACCCATGTATTATATGGGTTTAATTAAAAAAATTAAATATGAAATTTTAACAATTTGAAAAAGTTTGAATTTATAAGAAAAATGCGAAAAAATTTAAATTATTAAAATTAGTAAGGCTTTAATGTATTGAATACATTACATATATAAACAATTTCTAATAAATACCTTACATATATATTACCTTACATATTAAATGTGAAATTTTAATTTAATAAAATGAAAAATACAATAAAATGACAAGTGGAAAATAGAAAATTTAAAAATTCTAGAAAATGACATGTGTCCAAATAAAGGAGAAGAGGACATGTGACAAAAAAAACCTTCATTTATTAAAGTAGATATATCACATTAAAATCAGCAATATTTTACAATCTCATACATCTTATATTTGAAAAAACAAAAGTTAAATTATTAAAATTTAGCAATGTATTTTTAGCAAATAGCAATCATTTTGATATCGATAGTTTAAGACCGAAGTTAAGTTCATACCCTACACCGGTCCACTCCATGTTAAATGCCACAATTACTAAAGTCCAACCACATAAAATAAAACATGCCCCACAACACACACAAGTTCACTAACAAAAACCATCATTTTCCTTTCTTTCTCAATTCATCCACTTCTACTACATACAAAAGGCGGTGGGATTTATATGGTTTACACAGAGATCTCGCCGGAGATTCTGACAAGATGAAGGAAATGAGTTATGACATGAACAATTCCTCAATTCCAGTGAAGCACAAGCAAATGAAGATGTTTGTTAAGATCGCTGTTTGTTTGATTCTGATGGGTTTTGCTTATCGACTCTATTTCTCAACTTATGTTCAGATTCGACCTGTGATTGTGGTTTTTGGCGATGGATACAGCTCGTCGACGCCACCGTCGGTGGTGGAGGCTAATTTCACACTTTCCGGTCAAGTTCCGGTGAATGATACTAGTACGTGTCTAGTTCCCTTGCTTTACACGCATGTATATGATGATTGCAAATAAAAATATTGTTTTTTTTTTCTTTCTTAAGATGCTAAAAAATAACCATAATTTGTAAGAGGTAGGCAATGCTCATGTTTAATATCTGGTTATAATGATTGTCCGTTAAAGCTCATAATTTTTAAAATGCGTGCTACTTGGGTCTGTGGGGTTGGCATCTTTTTCATTGTTAAAAATAGCACATTATAAACTTAAATTACAAAATATATTTTTTAAAATCAAATGATTCAGTGAAAGTATAAAACATACTGTATTTGAGGGGCTTTTTGGATGTGCTTTAAATTGTTATTCAAAGTTCAAGGTTAATATCAAATAATAAGCTACAACAAAATAATTAATGTTGTAGATAGTTAGTTGATTATTATTCTAAGGGCATCTTCAATGTCACTTTATGAATAGAGTATAAAATTTAGTATTTGTTCTCTAATGGAATTCTATTTTACATATTATAAATAATTGTGAACGGTATTACTTCAAATTTGAAGCAATATTGTTCATTTACACTAAATAGAGTGCGAGTTTTACTTGTTTTATTAACTTTTCAAGTTTGAATTTATATATATATTGTTTATTTAATTTGTTCCACTTATTTACTTTATATATTTTGAAGTTATTTAATTATATTGTTAGATTTTTTAAATATGATAATTGTATCAAATGTATTTAAAATTGTAATACTTTTTAATAAATATCACATGATGATATAATTAATAAAACTTCAAAGTAACAAAAATATTTCTGACAAATATGTAAAAACATTGTAAATTGAAGGGTGTTTACGAAAATCTAAAATACATAGAGAAAAATAATATATTTGGAATATTTTTTTGGGTGTGAAAAATAAAGTATGGTTTTAATGAATCACTATTAACTTTATTTTTTTTCCCACTCTAAAAATAGAGCGTGGAGGAGATGTAATTACAAGTTTAGTTGTTATGTAGAAAAATGGTTAATGGAATAATGTTGTCTTAGTTTTGGCTGTGCCTAGGTTCGCTAAAGTGTGATATTTTCACCGGCAAATGGGTTCAAGATCTCACCGGCCCACGATACACCAACAATAGTTGCAACACAATCGAACATCATCAAAATTGTATGAAAAACGGCCGCCCAGATATGGATTACATCTACTGGAGGTGGAAGCCACGTAATTGCAATTTACCCATTTTCGACCCAAAAATATTTCTTAATTTCATGAGAGAAAAATCAATGGCATTCATCGGTGATTCAATCTCCCGCAACCATGTGCAATCGCTTCTCTGCATTCTTTCTCAGGTATAACAAGGCAACTTTGTCTAAAACTGATAGGTAAAATGATTGAAGGGGTAATAATGTATGTTTAGAGTCGTGGAGTTAAAATATAATATGACTATTTTACACTAAAAACGAACTTAGAATATAAATTTAATTTAACAGCTAAATTGAAGGTAAGTTGGAAGGAAAAAAAAAGACAAATATGTAAAGGGTTAATATCTTAATACGATAAAACCATGTTTCTTCCATTTAACCAATTAAGTTATTGTATCAAGATCAAGTAAATAATAAATAAACATATATAGCTGTCTAGATGAAGTATCTAACCAATTAAACTCATTAATTAAAAAAGAAAAAAAAAAAAAACACATGAGACTGATGTCAATGGAACAAAAATTATAATTTTGTAGGTAGAGAAACCAGTAGAGGTGTACCACGATGAGGAATACCGAACGCGAAGATGGTTTTTTAAATCACATAAGTTTACACTTTCGGTGATTTGGTCGCCTTTTTTAATCGAATCCAAAATCTTTGAGGACAATGACGGGCATGCCTCAAGTGATGTACAAGCCCGACTCGACGAGCCGGACCCTGAATGGGCCAACGAGTTTCATAACTTTGACTATATCGAAATCGGTGCAGGGAAATGGTTTTTGAAAACGACATTCTACTTTGAGAACAATGAGATTATCGGGTGTCATAATTGTAAAAAAGAGAATGTACCCGAGCTAGGGTTTTATTATGCGTACCGTAAAGCTTTACAGACGACTCTCAGTTTTATTACGAAATCGGACCATAAAGTTTACACATTGTTTCGGACCACGACACCTGATCATTTTGAGAATGGGGAGTGGAACACAGGTGGGTATTGTAACCGGACGAGCCCGTTTAAAGAAGGTGATATAGAATTGAGAGATATTGATATGGTAATGAGAGGGATTGAATTGGAAGAATTTGAGAAGGCGGTTCGGATTATGGACGGGTCAGGAAATGGGTCGATGTTGAAACTTTTTGATACGACCCGTTTGTCTTTGCTGAGGCCTGATGGGCACCCGGGTCCTTACCGGGCTTTCCATCCGGATACAAATGGTGAAGTTCAAAATGATTGTTTGCATTGGTGTTTGCCCGGCCCAATTGACTCATGGAATGATTTACTTATGAACATGTTGCTTAGAGGTTAAAGACAGTAGTGAGGTGTTATCAATGGTTTTTATTTGGATAAAACCAGAAATGTCTTCGTTACTGAAGATGAAGGTATATAACGGTTTATATAGTAGTTGACTATGGTTTCCTAAGTTCGTTTGTTGGTAGGGTTATAATTATATAATACAAGCCGGGCTACTTATGCTTGACTTCAAATTAGTTCATTTAATTCGAGTTCATATCATCGATAAACGTGTGAAGATCATTTACCAAATGCATGATGAGTAATGATCATATTTTATGTATTAGTAAATGTTTCTTTCCTAAGATTTTCTTAAACAATAATGGAATTTATAAAAAAAAAATGGAGAATGAAGGATATTATAAGAAAGTTGTCGGCGTGTTTGGTTGAGAAAAAATAGAATGGAAAAAATTAAAAAGTGTTTCAAATTTTTATTTATAATTTTATTTACGTATTGCAATGCCCCCAATCGATCCAAAGCAAAATATCTTCAATGTATATTTTTTTTCTAAAAGTATTGTTAAAATCGGATGTTACGATACCACATCAGTAAATTGATTCCATCAGTAAATTGATTCCGATTCTACAGGATCGTTTTTGGATAAAACCATGGTAAGATCGAACGATTAGATCATAAGATCATTACTATTTTTTTTTTTAAATTCAAATATTTTGTCTTGAACTAAGTGAAACAAATATGAACCCTAGAAAAACTCATTTGAATTATTTATTGTTGAATGAAATATTTTTCATGTTTTAAACTATTTATTGTTAAGTAACGAATGAAAAAAAAAATATTTTTTATGTTTTAAAACTGATTTTTGTAGAATCCTACTATCCCGATTCGATCTAACAATCACAATCTTGCAAAGCAGAAAAACAATCTTATATAGAATCCAAATCTAGACAATCTTGGTTTCTAAGATAAAGACAATGTTAGAGCCACAAGGAACAATCTTAATACGGAGAAATAGTGTACGCAAATTCCAAGCTAAGTGTGGATTATGACAATTAATCTGTTTTATATGATTTTTTAACAACCGAATTATTATATACGATAGCAAAGTTATTTCATATGATGCTCTGCAACAATAATGTTATCAACTTAGTCGAGAAGATGGATGATGGAAAAATCACGTTAAGATTTAAACATATGATATATCAAACATGGAATTAGAAATCTTCCAACGAAACTAAATTCCATCCATTTAGCTACCAAACATGTCATAGACTGGAATCTCGATTCCATTTCCATTGGATAACATCAGAAATCGGAATAGGTGAAACCAAACATACCCTAATACTTTGATTATGAAACGGGAAAGCAAAAAATGAAATTAATCATGCATATATATGCAGCCCACAAAGAGTTATCAAAATTTATTCATGAAAAAGAGTCGGATTTTGAGAACACATGTGCAAATTAAGAACCAAAATAAACATTCAACAAAAGGAAGCATAGCATCATTTTAAAGGATGTGAATTCACCTCTCAACATCTTCTTCTACTTGCCTTGCTTCTTTTCTGGTGGTTTAGCAAAGGGATCCTGCATATGCAGAAAATATAGAAAGTGTAAGAATGGGTATACATCAGCAATAATCTGTTTAAAACTTTAAATGCGTATCCCAACACCCCCTTCTACGTTAAGAAATTCGTTCTTCCATTTAAACCTAGAACTTCCCAATGCAAATTCATACGGGCATGTTAAAAATCGAATCTTGGAAGTTGCTAATTAATTCATTTCGGATCCAAAACCTAAGGTGAAGGAGAGTATAATCATGGATTTCCATCATAAACAAAAGTTTACAATCACAATATCTCTGAACCGGTCGGCATCAAAAACCTAGGTTTACCTGGATTATGTTATGATCCAATAGAACATAAATCCCTAAGTTTCCTTCTGGTTAGGTAAAACGAATCAACAACATTTCTTATCGAGATTTCAAATTGAAAGCAAGCAAAATACGAACAGATTAACGTGATTCAAATACCACATAATTTTGAGAAATCAACGAGATGCGATAATTGGTATAAAAATCAAGGGTTTGAAGTAGTCATTTGATAGGAGAAGAGATTTACGATTACTTACTTGTTTGAAGATAAAATTTAGGGCAAGAGCAGCGCCTGCAACGCCGCCAACCAAAACAGCTGGACCCGTTATCAAACTCCATTTCCTGTAAATCATTCTTCTTCCTCTTCCTCTTTCTTCTTCCTCTTCGTCTTTTACTCAAACAAACAAAGGATCCTGATTTTTTCCGTTCACTGCGTATTCGTCCGAAGGTGGGCTTAGGCATAAATTGACAAAAATAAACGGAGTCCGATCAGATGGGCTTTTGGCGCTTTACAATCTGGCCCAAATTGGTGCCGAGGAGTCGAGGAGATATAAGCAAATTAAATACTTATTTGTATTTCTTTCATGGATAATCATAAAAATGAAAAAAATGTTGGTTTGCGGAACACAGGTAAATGACCACGACACCGTTTCGGATTTTGGACATATATACACTGTGGTAGGTGATAATGTGATATTTCTATTTCTATTTTTTATTTTATTTTAGAAATGATGAATTAAATATTAAAACCCCCTGCTAGCAAGGAACTAGATAGGTAGAAGAAACAAGGTTATAAGTACAGTTTACAATCAAATAAAATGAGAACATCAATTAGTCCCATCTATTTTTGTTTTTCAAGAACTCGTTTGACATGAATCTCTTTATGTTTATACCATGTATTTGAAATTACATCATCCACCACAATAGTAGGGGAATGTACCACCTTTTTATAAACTTTCTCATTTCTCGTCTACCATACCCGCCATATAAATCCATCAAAAATAGCTAAGAGGATCTTGTATTTTTTGGGCAGTTACACCAGCCTACATCAAAGTTAATAAACTCAACCACATTCGTGAATTGCCTCTGAGGGATCCCGCACCATTTGAGGATCCAATCCAATGTCGTTTGGACAAACGCACACCTTATAAGTACATGATCCACCGATTCTTTGTCAATATCGTAAAAACAACAATTAGTCGAAGTGATGTGAACACTCATTTTTAGCAGTCTCTGAGATGAGAATTCTTCCAATCGTTGCACTCCATATGAAGCAAGACACTTTTAACGGGACTACTTTTGATCAGGCAATTGGTTCGCCACCTGTCAACATGATTTTTGCATCAACTGTTCGTCGTATAATATCCACAGTGAACTCGCTATCCGGACTAAGGTTGCATCTGAATTTATCATGACTCTGCAAGAAATTATAATTACTGATAATTGAGTTTGATGCTGTAACACTGTAAATTTTCAAACAAATTTTTCATTTTAAAATCACATAATTCTCATTAACACAGTTCACAAAACCCCAAGGTGTCAAATCATCAAAAACACAAATCCATAATTGCTTAATAAAAATCCAGGATCCTTAAAACATAACTCCATCTCGTGTGTACAATCAAGCCGGCGCCTTCCCGCGATCCTGAGAAGTACCTGAAACACATATCACATAACACGGTAAGCACGAAGCTTAGTGAGTTCCCCAAAATACCACACACATCTCATTAGCCTCTCATGGCTATATCTCGAATAAGACCCTCCGGTCAATGTGTCTCAGTGGAACCCTCCGGTCCCACAACTCGGGTGGACCCTCCGGTCCTAACTCAGTAAAGATCAGAATAATACCCAACATAAATCACAAAGACATAATGCAGGATATCACAATACTCAATAATAGCATACAAGACCCTTCGGTCACACAAATTACCACTCAAGGTAAGTATAGTGAGAAGACTCACCTCGTAAGTAAGCAAATAAACCTCGTGCCCCTCGAACGGTCAAATCCCCGCCTACATGTCATAATCATCTCTAATTAACACTTATAACCACAACTCTAAATACATTAAGCTAACCCCTCTCTCTAACTCCCATAATGGGTAAAAGACCATTTTACCCCTCCATGGTCTCCATAATCCAAGCCTTGACCAACCCTAAAATTCAACAGAAGTCAACACTCGAGTCAACAGTCCCTGTTGACCCAACTCGTCGAGTGCATCTATGTGGCTCGTCGAGTCCCCTTGTTTCCTCAGAAGTGTCGCGAAAGTCCAACTTAACTCGTCGAGTTGTCTGATCAACTCGTCGAGTTACATGTGTCCAGACTCGTCGGGGAAAACCCTAACCGACTCGTCGAGTCCGCTTACCGACTCGTTGAGTCCCTTCAGTCCCTTTTCACATTCAGACGATTTTGGGCAGAAATGGTGTCTTATACTCTGGATCTAGCCTTCCAAGGCTCACTTATCACGTAAAGCTGCAAGCTTTACGTTCATGCATGGCATTTATGGCTCAAAATGCCAAAACAAGCTCCTTATGAGGTCTCATGCATGGAAACTTGTCCAAAGCTTGATAAAGCTTGGATCTTTGGGCTCATCCGCTCATGGGACCTCAATATGTCCAGATCTGGAGTCTCAACTCCATGACAAGCTCATAACACTCTAGATCTTAAGGAAGGATGGGGAAAAATATCCTAAACTCCCTAAAACGAGATCTAACTAAACAATGAGCAAGATGGTGACTTTTTACCTTCAAACAGTGGCTAAGAATGAGTGAACACCAGATCCAGAAGCTCCTTCTCGTCAAAGGCCTCTCGCTCTTCAACTCTCTTCCAAGAATGCACAAAAACCCACAAAATTAGCCTCTCTTTCCCTCACACAAGGTTACAACTCGATTAGGGTTTCTCACAATGTAGTAGGGTGACAATGGTGGCGGAAATAAGGGCTTAAGGTCCTTTAAATAGGACAAAAAACCCGGAAAATTAGGGTTTCCTCACACAGCTCCTCCTCGTCGAGTCGGGGTCCTTCGACTCGTCGAGTAGACTCTAAAGTCACACGGCCAATTACTCCTCTACTCGGCGAGTTGGGGCATCCAACTCGTCGACTTGCCCTACCAAAATGAATGAAATTGATTAAATAATATACCTGGGACTCGAGATGTTACAGATGCAATCGACTCCTGTTGGGCCGATGGGGGTTGGGCTGAGTTCTACATGCCCATAAGAATCTTGAATTGGAGCGCCTTTCATATATAAGATATAATTTAGTTGTCTCAAGAGAATACAACTCGGGGAATTGATCTTGCAGTGTATTTGAGCCCAACCATTTTTCGATCGAAAGTAATGTGTT